TCTATTATTGGCTCCCACTTTTGGGGATTTTTTTCCCATCCTACCTGTATTCACTCAAGGCCAACCGCAATAACACGAGAAGAAGGGGATATCTCTGATGAAAATTCTGAGGATCTTCTCCCACCCAGGCACAAAAATTCACAGGATCCTTTCCACACAGAAAGCGAAAATGTGCAGAACTGTCCCTCTCCCTCCACTGAGGGCTGGAATTTGGGGTGTTTTTCTCAGTCAGAAGGCAGCAGGCAACAGGCAAATCACTGTTATCTGTGTGTCTTCCTTTTCAGGGAGGGCTGAGTGCCTTTTTTATTTAGGTAATAACAGGCTTCTGGCAGCACCTCCAGCGCAAGCCCAGGCTGCAGGTGAGCAGCAGGAGCAGAAGAGTTTGGCTGAGGTTTAACAGTTCACAGTCCCCTGGATAATAGGGGGTTTTCCCAGAGCTCTGCCAAGGCAGGCTCAGCCTGTCCAGGGAGCAGGAGGACAGGAGAGGCAGCATCGGGAAAAACAGGGATTTGCTAAGGCAAGTTTATGGAGAGGGACAAGCAAAGCCCAGAAGGTGAAAGGTACCTTGGGAAAGAGAAGCCAGATGCAGAAGTGAGCTGAAAGGATTAGAGCAGAGAGAAGATAAAGGAAGAGAATGGAGGATTCTGGAAAGCAGCATACATTTGGACTAAGTTGAGAACAGTCAAAATTTCTGATGATGACAGAAAGACCCCAAAGTAGTATTTTTTGAGGAAACAAAATACTAGCTCTCTGCATACTTTATGCCATTTTGGGGGAAGGGTCAATTACAAGCTCCAAAAAATTCCTGACTCTTATGAGAGTTTTCACACAATTGCAGGGGTTTATATTTCTCTCCCTTTTATTTTCTCTCCCATGTTGCAATAGAAGATAAACAAGAGAGCACACACACAAAAAAAACCTCCCAACAAACAAAAAAGCAAACAACCAAATCCAACAAAACCAAAAGCAAACACCCAGGCTCAAACTCAGCCATGTGTTGTTTGTTAATATATTCAGACTATTTCAAGGTGTCTCTCCCTTGAAAACAAGTCAATTTTAAAACCTCAGTTTTTCCATCTCTCCAAAAAAGGGTTGAATACAGTTTTCCATGTTCACAATGCACATGTGCCTCACATGTGCTCCTGGATGGTGATACCATTGTGAGCTTTTGCCCCACTGGGAGGTCTGTGACCCCCAAAGGAGGCTCTGACTTACCTGTGAATGTGATCCCAATCAGATGGGGCTTCACTGTCACTCAGAAGCTTGCTGACTAGCAATAAATATTCATAGAACTGATTAGATGTTAATTGCACAAATCACCACCTCTTCAGCCAACTCCAGGAACCTCACTGCCACCCAACACAGTTAAAGAGGCAGCAGAAAATGTCTCTTCCATAGGCCCCTTAAGGTTAATCTGGTGGCTCAGATGGAGGTTAAATGTGTCACCTTGGCATGTCCCTTAACACAGCCACAGCAGGGCTTCCCTGGTTCTGCCCCAGGGCTGTGCTCCTGCTAGTGCAGCCCCCAGGGGCAGGAGCCCAGAGACATCTCTGCAGCTGTCCTGGCCCCCTCTCCCCACACACTGCTTGCTGTCCAAGCCCACAGGGATTGCCCTTCGCTGCTCCTCTGTTATCCCTGTTCTTCCCATCCAGACAGTTTTGCCAGGTCCCTTCAGCAAGGTACGGGAGCAAAGCATGCTGTGCTGGCAGGACATATGGGCCTGTCCCTGCACAAGCTGTGACTCTGAGGGCCCATATGTGATGGCCACCTTGCACCATCCCCACTGTCTCCCTGAGGTGTTGGGCTGGCACCTCCAGTGACACGACTGTCCCCATGGACAGCTGTCAGACACGAGGTGTCCCCCCGTGGGGAGACACAGCATCTGTGGCAGAGAGTGCAGGCTGCTCAGAGGGTGTTTGTACCTTGCATCCTCCTGAGGTTTGTGCTGCCCCTGCTCTGGAGCTGAGGTGGAAGCCCTGTTCTTGTCAGTGCCAGCACTTCCTCAGTGATGACCCACAGAGGCCCAGACTCCTGCACTCTCCTTTGTGCATTCCTTGCACCCCTCTGCCCCGCCATGCACTGCCTCCTTGAACGTGGCCCACCAGCCTCCAGCAGCAAGCTGCTGTCTGTACACAGGCTCACACACATGGGAAGGTGATAACCTGGGACAGGCAACATTCATCTTCATTGCAGAGAGGCAGCAGGATTGGAAATGGCATGGCAAGATGAGACTGCTGCATGCCCCTGTCACAGGCACTTAGAGCAGAGACACTGCAGATGTGACAGCAGTGACACTCCAAGAAATCCTGGCCAGGTCTCAACCCCTGTCTGCCTGGGCTTCCCCCAGCCCCCCAGATGGGCCCTCTGCCAGGCTGGAGACAGAACTGATCCACAGCGAGGTGCAGCAGAGAGGCCACGGTGCCTTTAAGAGCCATCCTGCTCTCTACCTTTGTGCTCTGGCCTTTCTGTGTGAAATGCACACTCAAAACAAAAAAAATAAGAAGGAAGAAGTACCTCAGTACCCTGCCTCAGTGCGTCCCACACCCTCAGGTATTGAGTTGTTTTCTAACCACCAAACATAAGTGATGGGAGACAGCAGGAGCTGCTCCTGTTGGGGTCACAAATCTGACTGCACCATTCCAACCAGCTCCAATACAATGGGGCTGTGCTTCTTTCCATACAAAAGACTGGCTGCCATCCCTCTGAGGCCATTGCAATAGCCTTTCCAATCCAATGGATTTATTGTATGAGCTGACAGAACTGCTATCTCCTCTTGGTGTCAATCCCTGCTCTGCTGTGCAGGGGTGAGGTACGAGTGCTCACACAGAGGGAGTTCAAAGGCTGGCAGTCCTGGTGCATACAACCCTGTTTAGCTGACTGAAAACAGCTCCTTGATTTTCCTGTTGTGCTGAAGGCTGTGTGATGCACAGCTGAGCAGTTTCAGGCCTGACAGGAATAGTGTCTCTAATGGGTGCTCTCACCTTGCCACTGAACACCATCCTGACCAACTTGGATGCAGTCTTGCCTCCATTTGCTCCCGAGCCCCAATCACCAAGAGCACTCAGCCCCTGGCAAAGAACAGGTTCATCTGATGTCCTTTGATCACTCTCACTCCATAATTCAGTCCCATGTGCCTCCAATTGTACGCTGTCCTACCCCTCCACCTCACAGAGGTTTTCTCTACCTAAGCTCTACTGCAGGAGGCTACTGGCTCTCCTCACAGCTGCTCCATCTCCGTCAGTGCAAACAATTTCTAGAATGCTTTTTTAAAAATGTATTAACCTTCCAAAAAGGAGCTGATAAACAGGGGATAGGAGGACAGGAAGGAGTGGGAAAGAGGCAAGATGCAGCAATGTGGCCTATTCCACACATCTGCACTATTCTCCTCCCAGCCCTTTTATGAAAATAGATGGACATTTATTATGAAAAAGAATGGCTGGGTGTGTGCAGGAATCCTTAGGCAGGCAGGGAATAAGTGTCAGTCTTCTGCATGTATGTCTGTGTGAGCCACACATGCTGGCTATGTGGAAGAGAAATACCTCCACCATGCAGATAGCAATCTGTCAGACTGAGCACCTGAGGGGCTCTGGGTGTGTGCGCCTGTGTGAGCTGCTGCAGCTGCCCTCAGCACACAGAATGTGTGAGGGTGGTCAGCAGCACGTGCCCTGGTGATGCCATTTGAGCTGCACAAGTCATTCCTCCCATAAATGCCTAAGGGCTCCAAGAGAGTCTGTCAAAGCACACAGACATGAGTGGGGGCTCAGTTTGAGAGACCTGTCCCTGGACACCCAGGCCAACACCAGACACATGAGTACTCAGCAGGGATGAGGTCAGGCCACACTCAGAGAGAGCACATGCTGCCTTTCTGGCGAGCAACATCACATGCCATTGTGTTCATGGCACTGAGGAGATCAGGGCATCACATAGCAAGTTTAGAAATGCATTTTCTCCACTGGAGTCAAGGAAAGGCAATGGAAACCCAAATTCACTGCCTGTCTCCCTGCCTCAGTTTCTAGGAGAAACAAAACATGGTCCAACCCTTCCTGACTCTTGTGGTTAGCTTGACAGATGGAATTTACACAATTGCCTGTCTCTGTGCATTGTTTTGCCTCTCTCAAGTTGTACTTCCCACTCTGTAACCCCTGGGAGTAATTTTTCTCTGCAGTGTGGGTATCTAGGGGAAGCAGGGAAGAGAAAGGACATATGCAGCCAGAAGAGAATTAGAAGGGCTGGGGATGAGGAGGAATGGGGAAGAGCTTGGATAGACCCTGCTGCCAGAGGAATGATCCAAGTAAACTGTAGGAAGGGCTTAGCCTGGATTCCCACACCAAACACCAGATAGCTATGGGTAGAATGGAGACTCCAGACTAAATTTTTATGGCTTTTGTCACACAGAGTATAAGCCTGAGAAGCACTAGAACAGACATTTCTCACTCCAGTCCTGGACTCTGGGGCATCTCTCACCAACCAAATGCATATTTGTACTTCTCTTACATATATGGGAGATGTTGCCAAGCTAAGGGGCCATATTCTGCCTTCCCTTCCACCTCTGGACATGAGCCTGCCTCTGCACTGAACCCAAAGTAGGAGTGAATGTGTGTGTGCAAACACGTGTGCTCCAGAGCAGTGGGCAGCACACTCACTCTGCATCACATCAGCAACAAAGAGATTCAGTGCAGGAGACATTTGCAGGCATGAGCAGAAGAAAACCTTCACGCTCCTTCTCCAGGGTGAGCGCGTGCTTCAGCTCTGAGATACGCTCCCTGCCTCTTGAAATTAATTCAGCATTCCTGAGGCTTGGGCAAAAAGAGCTGGAATGAATAATGGGGCTGTGCTGGCCTTGCTGCAGATTGCCTGGTAGATACAGCCCTCTGCAGGAAGGAAAAAGCCAAGAGACTGCAGCAGTGCTCAGGCTGCTCTGCTGGAACGTGACACTCTTATCTCACATCCTCTGACTTTATCATGAAAATGACCACGTTACCCTGAGTTTTGGGCTTGCTTTAACCTCTTTTTATTTCTCTCTTTACACAAGAGACAAAACCCCCAGGCTCCAGATGATACCATTGTATGAAGATGGGAATGAATGCCTCTGTGTGTGTGCTGGTGGGGAGGTAGGTATATGTACCTCCATTTTTTCATGCCATCTGACTGCAAAACTTTCAGATACAAAACCCAGGCCTCTGAGCTGCTCAAGGAACCAGCCTTTGTCAGGGAGCCATCAGCCAGGAGGTGAGCTAGAGTTTGGATTTCTTCCCTAAGGAAATCTGTGGTGATCCCTGAGTCTCAAAAAAGAAAAACAAAACACCCAGAGCTGCTTTCCTGGTCCCACAGCATCTCTCTGCTCAGTTAGCCCTTATGTTGGATAGGGATTCAATTATCTCTAACTTTTTAACATTTATGGCACAGTTACTGAGCAGGGACTTCCCAGGATTACAGCCCTCACTACAGGATGTAGGAAGGGAGAAAGGGATTTCTTCTGAACTGAGGGCTTCTGATCTTACTTTGACATCTGGTTTCACAGCAAGTTTCTAAATATTGGTGGCCTCCACCCCACAACCACTACACATCTGTTCATGGAAGAGAAACCATTGGGGCCTTTCTGCTCTGTAACTGACTGGGAGATGCTCAGCTCCAAGAGAATCTACATGGCCCCTCACAGAAAAATACCCTGGCCTGGTGTGACAACAGGCAGGGCTGGAGACACTGTGCAGACATTCCTTTTTCCTCTCAGATCCTGTCCCACATGTCTGGGCCTACATGGGAGAACCCAAAGGCCAATTGCTGTTGAGCCTTTATGTTCGGACATGGGCAACCCCCTGCCCACAGTTCTGAGTCCTCAGTGGATCGCACCCTGCACCTCTGCCTTCAGTTTGGAAGGGGAAGAGGCAGAGGGCAAGCTGTCCTGTCAGTCATCTGCCTGCCAGGTGGGAGGCAGATGGAACCAAAGCTCCCAAATTTCCTCACTGGAAGAGCCCAGTGTGAGAGGGAAGCTGTCCAATAACCTCCACCTTTCTGATGCCGTGACCAGGTCATGGTTCAGTTTTTGCTGGCAATCTTTTTCTTACGGGCAGAGACCAGATCATAGAAAGGATCCTGTGAGATGTTGGTCCTGGAAATTAGAAGAAATAGGAGCAAAAGTAAGAGATTTAATGATGGAGAGCAGCACAGACAAACTAACTGAACTTGCACAGAGACACCACTTATCAAAATGTAGGACTAGTTATCTGCAGACTTACAGCAGAGAATTTAGCTGTGGCTAGAGATTCTCCAGAAGGGACTTCAAAACTCTTTAAAGTCAAGGAATACCATAGTTGTTATACTGCAAACATTTCTTTCCACCCCCCTTTTCAAGCTCTGATAAAAGATAACCAAATAAACTTTGTGACCACTTGATCCCAGGGCTGAAAAAAAGCAACTCAAGCCTCAAGCTCTCCTCACCGTATTGCCTCAATCCACTCATCACGCTCTGCTGGAGTGGCTGCTGAGATCTTGTAGGACTGATGCTTGCCTTCAACCACCTTCCTATCCCCATCTGTTTTGCAGGCTTTGATCTTCTGCCCTTTGCAGTTGGGAATGAAGAGTTCAAAGCAGTTCTGACCAAAAGGAAACAAAGTGGAGCATTAGGATTAGACAGGGGACAAAGAAGGCTGCTGCCTTCAACCATGGGTAACAGGCCAAGAGAGCTTTCAACAGACGGGAGTCTCCAAAATGCAAATGACCCTATCTTCCCTCACTTCAAAAATTTCCCTATGAGTTACATGACCTTCCTTCTTAGGTAGGCACACCCCTCCTCTGAGCAACTGGACACTAAAACCAGGCTTTATGGAGAGATGGAGCATCAACACTTATCAAAACACACCTTCTAGGATCTGTCACTCCACTCCACTAATGAAAATCCCTCCCCCTCCTAAGTAGATGCAGCATCCTCTTTTCTGCCTGCCACCACACAGATAGAAGGCACTTTTCCCAGAGCCATGACACATTGAAAAGTGGGTATCCACAAAAGACACACAGAAGAAATGAGTCACTTCCTGGGCAAGTTCCCTAACACCAACAGTTCTGTTTGGTCTACATGTGCTGTAACTCATTATGGAGAATCCCAAGGAGAGAAATTAAACCCACGTCTCCTGGTGCAAAATAAGTAGGGAGTCAGCTGTGTGCATTCATCTCTGCCCCCCTACACACACATACACACATGAAAACATACAATACAGTAAGCCAAAGGACAGCTCTCTACTCACACCAAAAACATAAATTAAAAACACAGCCGTGTCTCGATGGGGCAAACAAGGCAGTTTGCAACAGCACCTTCCCTCTGAGAAGCAAGTAGAACATGTGCAATTTGTGTAGGGTAGGAGTAATCTGTGTGCATCTTCTCTTCCCCCCAACCATCTGATAGCCTGTGTTGGCAGAGTGCCAGCCAATGGACACTTACTGGCTTTTTGGGATCATCCACCTTCCGGACTGATAGATTCTCCAAGGGGATGATGCCCCGAGGCTCTTTGTCCTGAAGGCAAGGAAACATGAATTAACACCCAACATACTCCCCAAATTTATTGTTCAGAACCTCTCTGATTTCCCCTGTGTGGGCCTTTGTGGAGGTGACAAGGGCAGAATACTGCCGCAGGAGACCCCTTCCATTGACACAAGAGGGAGTTCAGTCAAGAGGAGACCACAGCCGCAGTGTCCAGCCTCTCTCCTCCTCACATGGGAGGTGAGGAAACAGCACAGGAGAGAGTGGAGGTGTGAGATCAGTCTGGGAGCACAGGGTAAAAGGGGGAGACTTGCCTCTGCTCCTCCCTGGCCCCTCAGAGGCTCACAACCACCCAGCCATGAGTTAAGCCCTTACCGTGGTATATTCAAAGTAATAGAGGCAGTTATCAGTCAGAATGAACCAGCGGCGTTTCCAGGTTTTCACACGTCCTCCTAAAGGCAGTGAGGTTCAGGAGCCATTAGTCACACATTTTTCTGTCCTTCCCCCAAGCTCCTGCCATGCACACAGTCACACCCTCCCAGCTCTCCCTGTAGCTGAGCCCCAAAGAGACACCATGGCACCACTGACATGATGCTGTGTGATAGACACTCACACACAGAGCCAATTTTGCTCTGCTGGGTCAGGGAATGGGGAGGGCTATGTTTTTGAGTCCCTTTCTGAGCAGACAGAGCCTGCAGGAGCTGGGACGAGGGAGCAGGCAGCTGGTTTCAACAGCAGGTGTCAGCCTCAGCCCGCCGCAGCAGACGGGAGGGAAGGACAGCAGAGATGACGGTAGGTTCCTGGGGCAGATTTGTGGTGGGAGGCAGGCAAACGGGGAGCCAGAGGAGCTAGGGGGGCCCCTCCCTTACCTAGTTTCACCAGCCAGCCTTCACGGTTAGGGTTGAAGAAAGTGTGGGTGAGGTCGTTGCCATCATCCTCTGGTATGGAGAACGGCTCGTTCTTTATGCTCTCAAACAGATTCTGCCCCAGAGCATTGGTGGGGAAGGACAGACAGAGAAAGGTTGATTTCAGATAAAGCTTGTACACAACTATCCTAGGTCCATCTATCCACCACTCTGTTTTTACAAGGCAAGCTGGGTGAAGGGCAGGAGAGCACATGATGAGCACTGGGGGTAAAACAGTCCCCAGTCTGCACCTCACAGGGTCTCCAGGGGGATCACCAGCTCTTTTCTGCATCTTGTGCCTTAAAAAGAGTCTCAGTTTGGAAAACCACAGCCATGAAATGGTGCTCCCATAGCAAGACAGGCTGCAGTGAGCAAATCCAGCATGTCACAAGTGCTGCTGTGGGTAATATTAAGGCACTAGGATGGGACTCAGCACGGCAGAGGTGCAGCCCCATTTAGAACCTGGGCTGGTGGTGCCAAATGCTGCCGGGAGAGCAGCACGTAGACCTACATGGCCACAAGGAGGCACATTTCACAGAACCAAAGCTTTGGCACTGCCGGGCACAAAGGGTGACATTCATACAGCAGTGACAGGGAGGGAGGTACTGCTCTCAAAGGATACTGAAATGTTGTTCACATCATTGTATCTGCCATCATTTACTACACAAATCCCAAGCCAAGGGGGGAAAAAAGAGACTACAGGTTCCTGCACCTCCCCTAAATTGCCTGAAAGAAATAACACTCTGGAGAAAGCTTAAAGCCTCTATGCTGAGGGGATGCTGCTCAGCAAAGCCCAGGTGTGGGATGTAGGCAGCCCCTTTGACATAAGACAGAAGTTTTTTGGGCCAGGCTCCTTAGGTGAAGGCAGACACATCTAAGCAGGCTGACCACCTCTACCTTGCCTCACAGGGCAGGACCCATGCCTGCTGAGCCTTCAGGAAAATGCCAGCTGTAGCTTTGCTAATGGATGCATTTCCTGTCTGTGCACCTTTGCTTCTCAGTGGATGAGAAGCAAAGGGGATGAGAGAATGGGAATTCCTCTTACCTTTAGAAGCTCTTCTGGCAGGTCCCCTCCATTGTCAATGCCTCTGTTGATGGACACAAACCTTTCAAAGTGGGGTTTGTCTTTCACATTGGGGTTGTGCAGGCTGGTGTTAAGCATGATGATAGAGAAGGAGAGTACATAACAGGTATCTAGCAATGAGAAAGAAAATCAGCATGGGTGGCGCTTGTCTTAGAGGGCAGATCAATCCACACCACAGGTGGCTTGGATTTTAGTCACTGAAGAAGAGAGTCATCCTCTCATTTGTAGGAGAAGAAGGATTCCCTCTGCTAGGAGAAAGAGGGACACAGTTGATTTCCTATGAGGGAGGTGATTCCATACCCTTAGGATAATGGGGCATGTTGGGCAGATGCAGTCTAATAACAGCTCTGCCAGCAGGAAAGTTTCTGCAGACCTGCATCTGTCCGTGCTATCCCTGCTGGGATGAGGTAACACCTCATGTGAGGCTGGGAGCCCTTCTCCAGTCTGGTGCCTATCAGGAGGGCCTGGAGCACAGTAGCAAAAGGAGGCCTGAAGATGCTCAGTTTATCGAAAATCTTCACAATAACTGGGCTGCCTCCTTTAGCTTAAGGGGAAACACTTCCTAGTGATGCTGCCTGTGCTTTGTGAATGGAAAAGGAAGGCTCCTCTCCCTGGCAAACAGCCTAACTCTGCTGTACAGGCCTTCCTCCCTTAACTACCTGTGGACTGGAACACTCCTGGGTTGCACTTGCAGTACCAGTTGGCAAAGGCCTCCATCATCCTGTCAATCTTCTGCGCCTCCCCAGGCAGCCGGAAGCTCCAGAGGAACTGTCTGTCAGGAGCAGAGCGTCACAGCACTAGTCAGATGGGGTCCAAGGGACAGGGGTGCCTCCCCTCAACCCGTGCCACACCACAAAGATAAGAGAAGTCACCCCATCACACTGGGGAGACAACACAGGCCATGGAGCAGGAGCTCTGCTCCTCTCTGGAAATTGCCTGGATACATCACCCTCCAACACCCTGAATGCAGGAAGGAGAACTAAGGCTCCCAGAAATCACAGCTCTGCTCCCCTAATGAGAGCCCTGCAAGGCAGCAGAGGCCTCAGGAGAAAGAATCTTGCCAGGAGGCAGCCTTAATAAAACAAGTGCCCTAAAGCAGAGTCACTGTTATTGATGTAATGGGCACTGAGGACAGACGTTTCCTGCTGCCAAAAATAACCTTTTTCATCCCCCAGACACTGAAACCACAGTGACCCATTCTTCTGCACATGGGCAACCAAATCAAGGGGCAATCGAAGTGCTTCCCACCCCCTGAGAAACTGTTGATGCCTCACAGAGTAACAGCCCTGGAGCCAGCACACACAGCAGGGCCTTGGGAAGCTCCCACTTCAGCCCAAGAGGACTTCCTGACCTTCCTGTGTAGTGAGGGCCAGTGGCTGAGCAGGTTCCAGCACTGTCCCCTGCACGCTCACTCACCTCAGCGCCTGCACCAGGTTGAGGTTGGCAAATTGGTGACATGCCACAAAGGCCTGCAGGATCTGAATGTTTGTGGGGTCCCTGGGAGAGCAGAGAGGGAAAAGGTCAAAAGAGAGCTTTGAGCATGCTCTGCCTGGATGTCCCTTGGTGTGACAACACGCACCTGGCTCCATCCCAGTCTCACTTCCCCTCTGGCCAAGAAGAAGCCAAGGTGCACACTCTATTCTGGGATGACTGATCCCATTACAGGCAGGAGAAAAGGCAGCCCATACAGCCAGCCTTAGTCACATTCCAAAGGCCCTCCCAGGGGTGTCCTGCCCACCCAGCCCACTGTGGTTGGAGATATGCTCAGTCTTGGCCCCTGGATGAGGTCTGCCACAGGTCATCCAAAATGGTAGTTCAGAGGGTCCGGGCAGGACAGGGACTCCAAGGGATCTCCTCATCCTGGGTTGCTCACCTCCCACCCAGGTAATCCCCAATGGCTGTCTTGTTCAGGCCTTCACCCTTGTGGAGGAATCTGGCAATCTCCTGAAGGTCTGAAGACAACACCTGGTGCTCTATCAGGTACTGGATCCCCTGGGAAGGAGAAGCAAGACTGGGAAGTAAAGCAGCTCTATGATCTATTGAGAAAACAGGATCCCAACACTGATATCAGCCTTCCTTAGCTTTAGTGTACTTGCTCCTCTCTTACTCCCCACTCCCTTCATGGGAGACCACAGCCACGTTCTCATCTTCATTCAATCCCTCTTCATCCACTATGGGTTGTCAGTCCCATTTTCATTTCATCCCTAGATTTGGCTAAATGTTTCACTGGTATGGAAACTCAAACAAAATAGGGCAATGTAGATTTAAAGTCCAAAAAGGAAAAGTCAAAATAATAAATTTTAATGTTTTCAATCAAAATGTCTTCCTGTTCTGTTCCTAAATGTCTTTTTCCCCCTAAATTAACTTAACTTAAAAGAAAAACTGTTTATTTTAAAGAAGGCATAATAAAAAAATTGTACTCAGACAAAAATATGGGCTTGAAACAACTTGAGACAATTTTTTCCTAGATTTTTCTTCCACAGAACAGAGAAGTCTGCAATCTTTTCAGCTCCATCCCTCCTAGACAATAAGGATGGAATTTGCTTTTTAAGGAATATAGAGGTTGTGAGTTGGGTTGTACAAAGAGTCAATATCCTATTTTAGACAGAATTTCATGACTTTTAAAGGCAGAGAAAAAGCTGAGGCTTTTTTCAAAAGGTTCTTGACAATATCTCACAATGTTGCAGTTCTCCAGACCACACTGCAATTCTCCTTGCAATATACAATAAAAGAATGAAAATTGTTTTAGATCCATCAGCATGTTCTACTTCAAGAGAATCATTTCACTTTCTTTTGCAATATATATGAAACTATTTTTAAAAGGCCCCGAAGAAAAAGCAGTTTTAAACAAAGAAATCAAAAATTTTGTGAGATTTTTTCCACTCTATTTTCCTTTCTTTTTCCCCAGAGAGATTTTCAGTAAGATCAATTTAATTTTGAAAAGCTTTGCAGTGATGTGTCACAGTTGTCACAAGGGTCTTCAGGGTGAGAGAGAGGCAAGAATGTTGACCTCATGTTCAGAAGGCTTGATTTATTATTTTATGATACATATTACATTATGACTATACTAAAAAGAATAGAAGGAAAAGTTCTCAGAAGGCTAGCTAAGCTAAGAATAGAAAAGAATGAATCACAAAGGAGCTCTCTCCGACTCTGTCCCAGAGAGAGCTTGGTCCTTGGTTGGCCATTAACTATACACATCCAACATGGGCCAATCACAGGTGCACCTGTTGCATTCCACAGCAGCAGATAACCATTGTTTACATTCTTTTTCTGGGGCCCCAGCTTCCCAGAAGGGAAAATCCTAAAGAAAGGATTTTTATGAAAAGATGTCCGTGACATTTCTCCCTTTTAATTTTATTAAATTAAAAAGAAAAATGTTTGTAATTTTCTCTGCTGTGCACATGCAGAGGAAAGAACAAAAACTTGACAGGTTATCTGTTGCCAATCCAAATCTCAATCAAGTGCTGGTGTAGAATGAACAGGGAATTTCTTCACCTGTAGAACATACAATTCTATCAAATCACCAAAACAATATTACAATATAAGAAAATGCAAAAACAATTTAAAGAAAGTTCAAGTTCAAGCAGCTGAGTTTCAGAAAAAGTCCATGGACTGAAGATGTTCCTCTTTGCCATCTCTGAAACTCCTTTTTGGTCCTGAAACAGGCTTGCTGCAGAAAAGTCCATCAATAGTTATCAAAAGTCCATTGACAGTCACAAACAATTTCCAACAATTTGAGACAACTTCTGGGATTTCTTGCCACAGCCCTTTATTGAACAGCTTTGGGCTGAAGCTAATTTTTGGCCCTTCAGTGCTTCAGAGCTGCTGCCAGCCATTTCAACTCTTTTAATTTAATTTTTTTTTTTAATCGGAAAAAGCAGCAGAGCGGAGCCAGAGAAAGGCCCTGGGGGGCCCTGGCCCACGGAGAGGGATCAGGAACCCCAGATCTGGCCCACAAAAACGCGGGCCAGGACCAGAAGAGGGAAGGAAAACCCCCAAACCCATCAGGAGGCCAGGAGGTGGCCCTGGTCCAGGGACCCGAGCCCAACAGCCCAGGCCCAACCCACGAGGCAGTCTCTGCCTTGCCACAGGCCTGCACCCTGCTGCCAGTACAATGGCAGAACGGGTGGTGAGACGCTTCTTTTCCCCAAAATCACCAAGGCATGCCAGCAGCAGGGGAACAGAAGCCGTCCCAAGAACCCTCATCTCAGGTCTAGGAATATTTGTTCCCCACAGCAAACAAGCCATGATCGCTTCCCGCTGTGCCCTCTGGCTCTGCAATGCAAATGCAACAGGTGCATCTCCCATCTGCCTCACGGCACCAACCCCTCTGGGCTGGGGACCAAAGGCAGAACTCCCGGAACCCACCTGCCCCTCGCTGCTGGGGCGCACGAGGGGCGCCAGAGAGATTCGCACCCCTCAAGGGGAAGCAACTGACCAACCACCCCCCAATCCGCCAAGAATGCTGATTTTGAACGTCGGCAGACGGGCTGCCCCCGCCCCCAGCTGTCGGGCCATACCTGCTCCATGGAAGGAGAGACTGACGCCCTCTTCCCCTGTCCCAGCTTCCCCCGCAGGGGCAGCCCCGGGACAACCCGAAAAACTCGGGGGGGGAAATCGCGCTGGGTGCAGGAGCCGCCACGGCAGCTGCTGCCGGGAGCGGCGGGACCGCAGGCTGCTCTGCCTCTGCGGGAGAGGCTGGCGGGCACGACACGGAGTCGGCAGCGTCTTCTGCCGGCTGCGGGATCGGCTGCGGAGGCGGCGAGGCCGGAGAAAATGCATCCCCCACTGAGCCGGAAGCAGCAGCCGCGTTGTCGTCGCCCAGCAACAGCGGCGCAGCTGCAGGGAGCGGTGTTTCTGAGCCCTCAGGCGCAGGCGGGGAAGCCGGTGGAGCCACGGGCGGGACCGCCCAGGGAGGCAGCCGTGGGGCGGGTTCGGGCGGTGCTCGCGGCGCAGGCCGGGGCGGTGCTCGCAATGCTGGCCGGGGTGGCGCCGCCCACTCTTCACTCCCCGCAGAGAGAGAGAAGGGGGGGGAGAAAGACCGCTCCATCTGAGCATGCTCCGAAGACACAGTAAAAAATACTTCGGCTCAGAGGTATCCAAACCCAAGGTCCAAAATGAATTGGAAAATGGAGTCCACGCACTCCCATACGAACACATCGAGTGCATACAGCACATCCGTGAAAAACCCAAAGAGCTTTGCCCATTGAAAAAACTCATAGAAATCTGTCTCCAACAGGAGAATTCCGTCCTCTTCATCCCATTTTTGCCAGAGGGCAATAAGTTTCTCCTCTGAAGGGGAGAAAGGAACCTCCTCCTCTATGGGGAAGTCCTCCATATCAGCAGCCACAAAGTACGAAGGGCCACATTTTCAGGAAGGGAAAAGCCAACAGTACCTTTTGAAATCAAGAGTCCAGCATGCTCTGGCCAGCTCCATGGTGCTGGTGCGCTTTCCGAACATCTTCCTGGAGGCTTTTCAGAAGGTTCTCTTTGTGGTCAGCCTTGCTGTGAACTCTGTCCAAATCAGGATTTTGAGTTCTTCAGTTCGGCTAGAATCAACTTCTGTGGTCACTTGTGAAGCAACCATCAATGCCACACATTCGGGGTTTACCCAGTGCAGCACTTGCTCCTCTGGGGTCTCTCCAAGTAATTTGCTCTTCAGACGAGGGGTCACCAATTGATGGTTTTGTCCTCCTCAATCACTCGGGGTTCACCAATTGTGACAGTGGTCACAAGGGTCTTCAGGGTGAGAGAGAGGCAAGAATGTTGACCTCATGTTCAGAAGGCTTGATTTATTATTTTATGATACATATTACATTATGACTATACTAAAAAGAATAGAAGGAAAAGTTCTCAGGAAGCTAGCTAAGCTAAGAATAGAAAAGAATGAATCACAAAGGAGCTCTCTCCGACTCTGTCCCAGAGAGAGCTTGGTCCTTGGTTGGCCATTAACTATACACATCCAACATGGGCCAATCACAGGTGCACCTGTTGCATTCCACAGCAGCAGATAACCATTGTTTACATTCTTTTTCTGGGGCCTCAGCTTCCCAGAAGGGAAAATCCTAAAGAAAGGATTTTTATGAAAAGATGTCGGTGACAGTGATGATGGGCCCCATTTTCCGGAAGAAAATGTTTCTCCCCAAAGCTGTTTATCAACTGGATTCCTAATGCTTACCTCCTCCAGCCTCACGAACTTTCCATGGGATCTTGGAGAGAGGAACTAATTTATAAGTATCAGCATTGCATGGATGGAGTGTAACCTTAGAAAGGAGGGGCAAAGAAATTTCCTTGCATTGCAGCACCTCCCACGCTATGGCATGTAGCAAGAGGGAGGCAATAATCAGGGATCTGCATTATACAGACACAGAGCATGTAACATTTTGACCAGTCTGATTGGCACTGAACTCATAAAGCTAAACTGGTTTGGGGTTAGAGTTAGTTTGGGCACTCCTGCACAGCATGGCAGAGAGAGATGCCTCAGGGGCTGCAAACCAAGGTCAGGCAGAGAGGCAAAATAAAACCAACTCTCACACACGCTCTAAGTGCGGACATCGCTGCTCTGAGACAACTCCACTGGCAGAAGGACGTCCAGGGGACTGGCAAGCACTCCAGCTGGGCTGTGCACACTGCGGAAGGCACCTTGGCGCTCTCAGCAGGGCACAGAGGAGGCATGGAGAGCTGTCACACAGAGCAGCAGCCACCCAAGATGTTGGCTGTGGTGGTGAGCTGATGATCACCTATCATTTGATCACAGCTTGTGGTTTTCTCGAAAAGCTCAAAATATGCTACACTAATGAGAAGGAAGGAAGAGGGTACTTTCTTACATCTTCTCTACTTAATCATGATAGTTTTAGAGTTTTCTGCAGAGGGCTGAAGGCTATGGAGCCTTGATACCAGTGGTCAGAGCTCCAGAAAGTGGAAAAGCTATGTTAACTCCACAATTCAACCAAAACTGTTTCCAAAATGACAGAGGCATTCTCTCCTCTCCTGTTCTGAATGAGCCAAGGAACCTGACACACTCTCAAAACTTCTCACCTTCTTAGTTCATCCTCCTTTATCACATTATAGCAAGCTCCTAGCCTCTGACAGTCAGAAGGGCTGTGCTGAAGGAAGTCCAGCTCTCATGGCATGCTGGCAGCGTCACAGCATCCTCCCTTTACTTGTCTTAGGTTTGGGCTGAATTGCATGGTGTGGCCTCTGAGCCCATGGTGGGGGAGGCAACACAGCTTGATCATATCAGAAGACCTCAGTCAGGGGCAGGGTGCAGGCTGCTCCCAACAGGAGCCTCAGTGAGGTGGGAACCCATCCCCACAGTCCCCTGCCACAGTTCCTTGGACATCCATGGCTGCAACTGGAACAGCAGCCAGCAGAGGCTCTTCCTCCCAGCTTTACCCTCACAGGTGAAATGAACAAATCCTACCTTTTCAGGATCCATGTTGAATTTCTTCCGGCCCAGGGACAGAATTTTATCCCTCTCTGACTGCTTGCTGTAAACACAAAAAAGAAGGAAAAGTCAAACTTAGGATAAAGGACCATGTCATTTCACTCACAAGGTGAGATATCACATGGACAGTTGTCTGACTATCCAGGAATAATGAGAAATCTGAGAAGAGAAGGGCCTCATTTATTTCCATGCCCATTTCCCTGACGTTGTTGAGAACCAAATCCCATCAGTGTTTTTGTTTTTTCAACTTATAAAGAGAAACTTTGTAAGCAAAGGAATACTCATTCCACTCACCTGATCTGCTCTCCAGGATTACTGTCTGCCACTTGCTTCTCCTCTTCACGTTGGAAACGCTCAATCTCTGCAACCATCTCATCAATCTGCTCCTTCAGCTTCTGCAAAAGCAATATCAGAGAGATGAAGGCAATGGAGGGGAACACAGCAGACACAGCCTGAGGAAGCATGAGAGCATGTCTAACTTCTTCCCTCGGTCACAGGAAAAGGACAGGTGGTCATGACCAGCCAAAGATGCCTATGAAATGGGCACTGCTCTGGAATGACCCTGCTGGATTCCAGATGGAAAGAGAGACAGAAGGATGTTCTCATGCCTATTGCCAATCAAGACTGGAAAAATCAACCTTAATCAATGTGGCAAGTGTCAGAGAACTTGCCCCACTGTCAATTCCAGTTCCTCAAAGAATGTCAGATGCAAGAATCCTTCCATTGTGCTCATTCCTTTTGAACTTTTATTTTGCATAGCCTTGCTACACATCTAGGAAAGGAGAAGTGGAACTGGTAACTGTGAGAGCAATATGAACCTAAAGTGGCTGTATTGTGAAACACAGAATTTTTAATGTGCCTGTCATTTAAATACCATTGAGCAGACAACTCTGTTCAGTGGAGAAAAAAGAGAGAAGGAGTAAAGGTAAAGTAATTACTGCCAGATTTTAAAAAATCAGTTGCGTAATTTACTTTCCTTTAGGCCCATGACAGAACATGGCTGCCTTGACTGGATATTCTGTGTTACCATGGAAATGAAAGTGTCTATATCTCCTTGTTTCCATCCTGCAGTTCTGTTCTACCTCAAAGCCAAAGTGCACAACAGCTCTCTTCTAGGAATCACCCAAATTCTTCCCCATACCAGCCAGAACAGGCAAGGGAAGATGAGTTATTTTACTAGAGATCCTTTCTCATCAAGGAATGAGGATGTGGATGGAGCACATAATCAGATAGAGTAACTGAATTTCTGAATTCCATAAATTAAAAGAACTTCTGGGTTTCGGTTTTGCTCTGGCCACCTTCTGTTTTGCTTCATTGGTCCCCAGAGCTGTGAGTGTTCCTTACTAAGTTTTAGGTGTTGCACAAATGTAACAGAACCATGATCTCAGCTCATTACTTTCAAATTATTATCAATTTTGTTATTTTATTCACTGCTCTTTTTTTGCAGCGTTACTGGCAAGCCAAGACCCATCCTCTTTTCTCTTCCCCACCCCCCCCTTGCTCCAGATATGTCCCCAAGTCTTTGTCCATAAGGGTACTCATAGATACATTCTGAAAAAAAAAGATCCCCTGGGGAAAATGTCTCTTGTTCTATGGCACTCTTTTCACCCAAACTCACTCTGTTCCACTGGCCATTGCGTATTGCATTACTTAATGGCTTTGGGTTTTAAAGCATGGGCTTGTGCAGTCTAGCAGCCTTTCTCTGTCCATAGTGGGCAAAAAAAATGTGGCATTCCTGTTCAAGTATCCTGCTCTTATAGTGCCCATTGCCTGTTGTGAAAACTGAAGAGAAGCAAACATACACAAGCAAATCCTAGGCACGTACATTCACATTCTGTTCTGCAGAGGGGGGATAAGAGACCATTCTGGTTTTCAGCAGAGAGAGGAGGTCTGGAAGCCTAAGAAGTAACACGTAGTTTGGCTTAATCCTTTACTGCATTCCAGGAAATATTGCAGCTATTCCCTAGGCATCTGGACAGCTTCATGTTGTGGAAAAAAATCAGTCCAAGTCCAATGATTCAGTGCTATAAGCTCTCTCAAATGGGAAACCGCATTTCATGGTGGAGGCAGAACGGAATGGAAAGGGCACAGCACCATGCAGGGCTGTGATGCAGTCTTAGTGACTGATTTTGAATTCTGTTACTTCCAGACATTTTAGGAGCTGCTGGAGAAATGGTTGAGTCTGCTTAAAAAAAAAGAAGGAAAACAAGTCCCAGCCACAGACACTTGTGTGGAAGGTCCTGCCATGAGACCTCTTTGGAGACATGATCCTTCATGGAGGACTTGCTAGAGGTCCACAAAGCAAACAAAAGTCTGATAAACACAGGGGGATGCTGCAGGTAACTGGGACTGATATGCCATTAGCTGGTAATCAGTAATTAAAAAGAATCATAAACGCTGAGCCAGATGCCTGCCAGTATGACTTAGTGAAGATATTTCTTTACTCCTACATTTACAATCCCAGCTCAATATTGCTCAAACATCCCACTGGGGCAGCTGATGATTCATGCAGCAGAGAGTACCACAGGCTGGATGTACCCTGGTGGCAAACAGGCCAGGGCAGCCTGAAGTTTAAAACTGAAGCTGGATCATGACTGAGAAAATATCTCTTTTGCAAGAGCACTTCTGCATGGCGTGGACTGCTATGCAAAGACGCTCCTTGGTGAAGATAGATTTCAGAAGGCTAGGCAGGCACAAGGGACAGGATGGTCCTTACCTTAATGTCATCCAAAAGCTCCTGCCTGTGCTTCCTGATTGTCTCTATTTCAGCCTCTTCAGCCTCAGTCAAGCCAGTTGACTCTGAAAGAAAAAAGATTCCTGTGAAAACTCTACTGGGGCCAACATATCATGGAAAAAGCTGCCCCAACCTCTCAGCACTTACCTTCTCCTAAGGTCATTCCACAGCAACTCTGATTTCTGCGCTCCCTGCTGTTGCAACCTCTGCACCTCACCTTTGCCTTGCCAATGGTTCTCAGCCCAGAGTGTGCACACAGACCATACCCCCCTCCTTGCAGCCAGAGGCTCTGCACAGCCCTCTTAGCTGACCCTGCAGGCACCCACTGCCTATTCAGCCAATTCTGCTCGCCCTGAGCACGGTGAAGAGGTCTCACTAAATGCTCTCTGGTGGTGGTTATGTCAGTCATCTTTAGGTACTGAAAGTCTATGACCTAAAAACTTCATCTACATCCAAACCTCCCAAGAAACCACTGGCTTCATGAGTTGATCTGCCATAGCTGGAGTCAGAAATGGCTTAAGAGAGAAAATCAAGGTTTTCCAAGTTGGATCTAGGTGATGAAAGCCTTGCTGAAAAAGGAATGTCTTTAAGTGGCTGCTGTTCTGTAAACAGTTGTTCTGTGAACAGAAAATGCAGAAATATGAATAGGCTTCCTTGTAATGTACAGGAATTCAAACAAATAGCAGCAAAACCAAGGCAACCACAATATGATTCACAAAAGACCTAAAAAATGGGGTGACAGTACTGCTGCTAAATATAATGCAGGTGAACCACAGCCTCTTCTGCAAGGAGAATGAGAAGGCTGTAGCCCTAGAGGGGAGACAAAGCAGAACATGAGGCCCCAGGAAAAAAGCAGAGCTTGCAGAAGGCTGAGAGCACTGGAGATCACTGGTGAACTTGCAGACAGGGTCCTTGCTGCACTAAACACAGCAAGATAAAGCGTCCCCAGGAAGCCAGGACAAGTCACTGGATGCCCTGCTCCACTGTTTCATAAAACAAAATCCCCTGGGCCTCCAGTCATCCCAGAAAAAGGGGAACTAGCACCAGTTGCACTGGAAATTCTCTTAGTGTGGATCTCACATGCAAAACAACTGCTATAAATGTGAGTGGAAGAAAAAAAGGGAAGGAAGCAGCCACGACAGACAGAAGGAAAAGCGACAAGAGCAATCGTCTTAGTATGCTTCTTTCCTGTCATGGCCACAACAGCTCAGAAAGACTCTCCTTCCCCAATCCTAATCTCTCCCCTATCCTTCTGGCTGGTTGGGTTTCCATGTGCTAAGTATGTTCCTGTTATTTTTGTCAGCTTCGGCCTCTTTCCTGCCACTCTTCCTGATGGTTTCAAGCATTGCATTCCCTGGGGAGAGGCTGCTGAGTCTGTGGGGGTAAAGCAGAGGACAAGAAGCCAGCATGAATCCAGGCTGGGAAGGACCCATGTGCCCTCCCAGCCCTGCAAGCAGCCCTTGTGAAGAGCAACAAGAGGCTGTCTGATTGATGAAGCCAGTCAAGAGGGAAGGAAAAAGGCATCCAAAAGCTTGCAACGGCCAAACCTGTAGGTGAGGGGAAAACCAAAGCAGGCAGGAAGGTTAGCAAACAAAAAACAAACAAATGAGAAGAAACCACAAAGAAAACCAACCAAAACCATGCAGTAGCTCTGGTACTTGGCTGGTAGGTTGCAGACTTCCCTTTAAATGTCAGCCCTGGGCCTCTGAGCAGTGCCCAGGCTCTTCAGCTTAATTTCTGTATCCTGCAGTTGTGGTGTCTGCAGGAGATCAGGCTGGCATCTCCATCTCTCCAGCTGTATCTCTCTCATTCCTGTCAGGGCTTGTAATTGTGGAATCACTGGGGTGACTCCTTGACAAATTACAACGAAGACCTTTTGCTCTGTGTTTCTTTCCACAAAAGCACCATAGGAGGACAACCCTGAGGAACCTTGCCTTCCCCACCCCATCAGCAAACTCTGTGGTGTGGCTGGTTGCTTTGCTTCAGTTGTTCTGTGTCTACTAAAGCATCGCAGAGTCATGAGGCTCCCCAGGGATGCCATCTCACCCACACGACCCCCAGCAAGGCTGTAATTAACACAGGCCCCCTCCCTCCTGAACATCTGGAAACCCCAACTCCCACCTGCCGAGTTTGTCAGAATGAGAAAAGTGTGGGAAGGACTGTGTTGGGGAGGGAGGGCAGGGGAGAAAAAGGAGGAGTCACAGAGAAGGGGAAGGAATCAAGGGGTAAAAAGGTGGGAAAGGGTGACAGAGTTTGGAAAAAATTGATGGATCAAACTTTTAGAGCAATTTAGACTGAGCTGCAGAGATGGTCTTTGTCAGGTTTCCTATACAGCTTAAGTCCTTGGTTGCCTTAGAAAATGGTCCATGCCTTGTTGAAGTCCTCAGTACCACCTCAGTTCTACTTCCCTCTAGGACTAGGTCAGCACACAGGTGAAGCATAGCCCTGGTCAGGGTTCTCTGCACATGGGGAAATTTCACCCTGATGAAGAGCACACCACAAAAACATGCGCAGGTTTCAGAAGGATGCTCTCAGCCCAGCCAACACCAAAGTTTTCCAGTTCAGACACACAAAAAATGGTTAGTATCCTCTCCAGAGAGAACATTAGGTTGTTGGTTGGAATTTATTTTCAGAGAGCAAATGTTGAAAGGAAAGTGCATCAGCATCACATTTGTGGGTCTTACACCTGCCCCTGAGGTTGTTTTCCCACTGTCAGGGCAGACCCACATAGAAAGACCTGCCAGTTCTTCACAAACTGACCGGGGTTGTATTTTCAGTGCTGTCACTAAGGACAAACTTCAATTCCAGTTGTGTGGTTTATGCCTTCAGCCTCCCTGCCCAGAGGGCAACTCAGAGTTGCCCAAACATCTGGGTACTTGTGTGGCGAGCAGAGAGTTCTGTCTTTGCTGGTTTCATTTCCCAGTGCAAAGGGCTGTGCTCAACCACCCAGGTGTTCAGTGGCTTTCAGTTCCATGGAAAATTATAGGAATAGTCAGATAGCTTTTGAAGCACAGAGGTAAGTGGGAAATGACCACCCAGGAGGGCTGGAAGGATGAACTGCAGAAGCAGCAGGGGAAGGTTAAGAAGAATGATTGTATCTGTGCCACTGCTGCAGACCCATGTTACACACTTGTGGTAAGACAGCAAAGGTTCATCAGGCTCATTTGCAAGGCAATGGAGGGCTTTGAGTATCGCTGCTAAAGGGTTTGGGCACCTCCACCCACAGCAGCACAAAAGCAGAGCAGCCCAATAGGCAGCTTCTGCTTGAAGGAACCTCCCTGGTAGAAAAATTTCACCTGAAATTCCTTTTTTTTTTTAATATGGCTGCTGTGTCATCTCCAGTACAGACCACCACCTCCACAGATAGGTACCAGTCTAGTAGCAGAGAGATGACAAAGCCTTCTACTCCTCAATTCCCTCCAGCCATGTACATCTCCCTCCTGCAGCACTCCACAGTTCTCTGCCAGATCGTGTGAGAGCAAATTCAATATAAATCCAAATAGATTTAATTTGCACATTCCAGCTACAGGAGGGAAGCTGGGAAGAAGAATTTATGTTGTCTACTGGTCCCCTTATCTCACGTGACAACTTACACCCATTCTTCAGGATAGCTTTCCATGACTTTTGACCACACATCCAGCACAGGACACCACAGCACCAGTCTGCTCCCTTTGTGCCACACATCCAGCTCAAGGGCTTGGCACACCTGCTCTGTGGCCTCACTCAGACAGTCCTGAGAGGGTTCTGAAGGAAGCTGGAAGAGGACACATACTGCAGTGAGAGCAGCCTCCCCAAGGCATTGAACAGATGTGCACTTAGCAGGACCATCATGTCTCCAGGTAGGAGTGGCCCCAGAGAAAGGTGTACAGGCACCTCTGACCTTCAGGACAATCATGCCACAACTGAGCAATTCCAAATGCATTCAGTACTCTAAAGCTCACTGGAAAATGTTTCTGGTGGCAGCCTTGGGTTCCAAGGGAGTTCAGCATCAAACAAACCCACTTTCTGACCCAGCTGTGGAAAGACAGGATGGGATTGAGCAAAACCATCAGTCAGAGCCATCACATCTCTCCAGGCATTGCCTGTCTCCAGGCTCTGCCTCTACCCAGAACTGAGCAAAGCCCCACAGTGCCTGAATAGGATCTCCTTGTGATATTGCAGTGTGTATACTGTCTTGAAAGTACACTTGCTTGAACGTGTCACTTTCAAGACATAATTAATGCAGTAACACGTAACTTGAGTGAATGACTGTGTCAGACCTTCAGTTAGGAGACCCCCAGTTTCTATTGAAGGCACAGTCCAAAATAAATAGCAAAATATCAGTTATCCTTCCTCCTGCCCAGTTTGTCCTGCAGAACCTTTGCCCACAGTTGCTTTCAGACAGTGAGGGCTGGGTGATCAGGAGACCCATTTTCACCAACATTCAGTACCAGTCAGATGCTGACAAGAACTCAGCTCCTATAGGTACCACCAATTTCCCTGGCAAGCAAGGTTGGTATGCAGCTTGAGCATGCCCTTTCCTTGCCGATACACCTCCGAGCTAAAAAGTGCACAACAGTTGTTGAAACTGGGCACTGCTTTTTGCTTTCACTCTCCATATCCTATACACAAAAGCCTGAGGGGACAGAGTCTGAATGAGAAGAGATAGTACAAGGTGATCCTTTTTCCTCCTTTGTTCAGCCTGTTCCCACTCAGCTCTCCCTCTCTGACACACTCAGAGCTTCCTCAGCCAGAAGCTGGAAATGTTCAGTCTGGTGCATGCCTTTCTTTGCTGAATCCCAACCACTTTATCCACCACCTTCCAAGGCAGGAAATAAAACCTAAGATCTCTCTCAGTTCCTCAGATGTGGTTCATTTTCCCTCATTCACATCTGCCCACTGAGATTATTTCAGGACCAGGCAGGCCCACCTGTAGATCCCCTGGAGCTTCCAGAACCCCAATACAGTTGTCTACCTCGAACATGGCCATAAGCAAGGGAGGCCCCAGCACCAAAAGTCTTGCACGGGTGTTACGCTGGGATGCCCAACTGCACGAGAGGCTCCACCAAGGCAAGCCAGCTCCTGGCATCTGTAGGGAAACACCAGCGAGGAGCTTGCCAGAGTTCAGTGAGAGCAGCCAAAGCCTACAATGGTCACCACCCCAGGTGTCACATATGCCACTGACACCGAGGAGTCAGTTCCCAGCTCGGCCCAGCACCGCTGGCCGAAGGAATCAGAGCAGGAACACTCTCAGCACAAAGGCCATTCAAACCTGTGGGGAAATTTCTCCCGATGGGAAAGGAGAGCAAGTAAAAAGAAGCCCATGCTTAATGCTGAAAACTGATAAGCATTTAACTGTACCACCAGGGATCTTCCAGCATGTCATTCCTCCAGCCACAGCACCCACTCTGGCTGCTGGGATTTCATGGTGTGCTCTTCTCCATCAAACTGAGCACAGAGCCCTCACCCCAAAAAGACACACAATAGTTGAGGCTTACCAGCAGGACAAAGGTCCATCCTGAAGAGCACGATATATTTGCAACACAACTGGTGTTGCTCCTTGTATTTGGTTTGTTCAGATGCTTCACAGAACTGAAACAACTTGGAGGCAGCAAATGCGACCGCAGCAGCTTTGGGGGGGGCGGGTTTCCCTGTGACTCCTCCTTCCCCTCCTTGTCATATATCACAAGCTTGTGGCAGTGCAGAAAACTCTGTGCATGTTTTAATGAGCCTACAGGGGCTCATTGCCTACTTTTAAATGCAAATGCACAAATGCATTTCCATCCCAGCAGCATTTTAGGAATCTTTGTTTGAGAAGATTAAAATGAGCGGTGAGAGGCTTTGGCCTGAGGTAGTCAGAGGAGAAAGAGGGAAAAAGGAAGTTCTTGATTCAGAAAACCCATCGGATTGGGGAAGTGGTTCCATTTTAAAGGGAAGATTCTTCCCATGTTAATTCAGCAGCAGAGTTGGGTGGGGGCAGGGATGGGAATGAAGGCTCCAGAACTGGAGGATGGTTGATGGAGGGCCAGATAGAGTTGTCAGACTCTTCTGCCTCACTCAATGCTCATAACTTAAAGTCTTCCTCCTTTCTCCGCCACAACAAAGTGTTTTTCATGTGAAACCTTGTAAGCAAGGGTAGAGAGAACTAAGAAGAAATGCAGTCCTCTCTCAGGTTTAGCAATATTCCTGATGGTGAGAGAGCTGGAATTCGCAGACATTCAGGAACAGGAATGAAATATTGAAATTGGAGGACAGAGCTGAACAAACACTCCAGAAAGGAGATACTGTCAATCAAAAATGATATTGAAAAATCCAAAAAATTTGAAATGGAGTGGCTACAACCAATGGTACTGACACAAAATAAGGTGTAGGGAAATAGACTAAACGTGCCAAAATTATGGCACATTTGAAATCCCTAAAATCAGGCAAGAAAGGTAAACAAAGAGACAGAGGAGAAAAAGGGAAAGAAGAGAAACAGAAGAATCGAAATAGAAAAACAAAAACAAAAGAAAACAGAAAAAAACTACCCCAAATAGGATGTGAAAACCAGAAAAGCCAATGGGATGACCTGAAGTGCAGGAATACAGACCAAAGCCTACCCAATTGATCCTCATTTAAATTGCATGATTTCATTCCCTTTCCTAAATGAGATCTTCCTTTCAGGAAAGGGAAGCAAATCTTGAAATCGGAGGTCAGACTTGAACAAACACTCCCAAAAGGAGATACGGTCAATCAAAAATGAAATTGAAAATACCGGAAAATTCACCCAAATGAAACTGGAAAATCCAGAAATTTTGAAATGGGATGACTAGAACCAATGGTACTGAGATGAAATTGGGTGTAGGGAAATAGAACAAAACATGCTAAAATGATTCCCTTTGAAATCCCTAAAATCAGGAAAGAAAGGTTAACAGAGAGACAGAATTGAAACAGAAAAATTGAAATCAAAAAAACCCAAGAAAAAACAACAACAACAAAAAGCTGATAGGATGTGAAAACAAGAAAAGCCAATGGGATGACCAGAAGTGCAGGAATACAGACTGAAACTTGCCCAATTGATCCTCATTTAAATTTCTTATTTCATTCCCTTTCTTGAAGGGCAAAGGAATGAAATAAGAAATTTTGAAAAATTTATAACAAAGAAACAGTAGAGAAACAGAAAAATTGAAAATTTAAACAAACCCAAACCCAAACAAACCTGATAGCATGTGAAAATAAGAAAAGCCAATGGGATGACCTGAAGTGCAGGAATAGGGACTGAAGCTTGCCCAATTGATCCTCATTGAGTTCACAAGATTTCATTCCCTTTCCTGAAAGGAAGAATTTTCATACTGAGATAAAATTTGGTGTAGGGAAATAGCCCAAAACTTTACAGAATTATCTCCCGATTTGGTCCCTTGCTCTGGGGCCATTCATCCTCAGAAAGAAAGACACAGATTGTCCTCCCTTCCTCCCAGTGTCTTGCTCTAAGCTGTGGTTATGCTGAAAGTTCAGTCCTGCTTTTGAATAAACCTCCAGTGGAGAGTGGGAGATATCCCCAGCTTATGCATGTCAAGCAGTGGCAGAAATCCAGAATTAATTTACACAGGCAGCTATAGGTCAGGCCACAACCTGTGATCCTTAGGAAGAGCTGGTAGTGTGCATTTAGGACTCGCTTTCTACAGCCAGTTTAAAAATATTTACTAAGAGGCAGTTATAAACTTGGGAGTGAAAAAAAGAGGAAGGGAGTGCGCTACATGAATGCAAAGTCATTTCCAGCTGTTACACCCATGTCTTCACCCAGATCTTCATTACACAAAATGGCCACACCTAAAAGCTATTAGAGGCTTTGTCACTTGGGTCACAAATTGTCAATACCCTACTCCTGGCAAACTAAATTTCTGTCTTGAGACTGTGGGCTGCATGAGAGGAGAATTCACTACCCCACAATCTGGCCCAGAGCCCCCAGTTTTTTCACTGGAGCTGCTTCTGGTGTACGACCTCCAGTCCTTCCTTCCATCACCCTTTTCTACAAAAAGATAGTTTCAGCAGTACTGCAGCTGGCATCAAGCAGACATGCCAGCCTGAAGCACTCACTAGAAAGATGTGATCTTGTCACAGCATACATCACAGCTGAGATGGCCATGATATACAGAGCAACACCACACAATTTCAGACTGCTTCAGCCCACACAGATTAACACCAGCTCACTCCAGATGGCTGCAAGCATCTGCTCCTGTTGTTCTTTAGCCCAACCCTTCATACCCCTCATGTCCATGCACTGCACCTGTGTGCCCTCTGCTCCCTTTGGTGATGGGTCAGTGCCCCTGGGCGCTGCATGGCTCATTGCTGTCAGTGCAGCTCACCTGCTGCTCACAGCTGCACCCATTGGGGAGGAGGCTTTCTTGGGATCTCTAGCTGGTCAGAGTGACCCCCAGATATGTTAGAAAGTCTCTTTTCCCAGCCTGGTGGTCAAAGAAGGAGTCAGAACTCTTCAGTTCTCCGTCTCAGGGTTGTTTATTGTATCTTATCTATAAAATGATTTCTCCTGACCTGCCGAGGTCCACTCAGCAAGACAGTCAGAGGCACTCTCCCTGTCCCCGGGGCAGTGTTATCTTTTTATACTAAAAACTACATATACAATATTTACAATTACTTTCCAATACCTATGACCTATGTTAGACAGTGAGCTTCTACTCTAAACCAATCTAAAAGTGCCAACATCACAGCAGAAGATGAGGGCCAAGAAGAAGGAGAAAGGCTGGACATGCCCAGATTCCTCCATCTTGTCCTCTGAACCCCCCTTTTAAAAACCCAAAAAAATCTATTTTTCACCCTGTGATAAATTCACTATCATTCTACTTAAACTGTCGTGGCTTGCAGATCTTCATATAAGGTTGGTAATTTGCTCCATGAGTCATAATCAAACCCACAGGTGTTTTGGGCTCTGTGCCAAGGTCTCTGAGCACCCTGGCAGGGGTCCTGGTAGTCCAGGACAGCCAGAGGGATCTCCTGAATTCCAACAAGGCTTGGCCACAGCCCCACTCCCAATCACCACGAGCTGTGTGCCTACATGATCTTGCCTGCCACAAAGGCAGGAGCCACATACAGGCAGCTTGATCAGGGCTCTTACACACGTGTGAGAGCAGGTCAAACCACAAAGACCTGCAAACACCAGAATGGATCCCTCTGTGCACTACAGAAGTACTTCCAGCCACTCCAGCAGAGTACAAAGCCTGGCCCTGTGTCTCTCCTCCAGACTTCCTTCATCTTTTAGCTCCTTGATGTTTCTTTCTCAAAGCTTTTACCACTTGTCTGTTGAAATGCCTGAATGCCCTGTTTGGAGACCTTGCTCCTACTTCAGTTCAGTGATCACCTCCACCACTTGCATTCCTCTGGGTCTGGTAGCCTTGCTTGTAATATTTGATGGACATTAAATGCTTTCAGTTATTTCAGCCAGAGGAGTCTGAATGGGGAATGCACTGATAAAAAACTGCATGAGTCTATGTCATGTGAAAGCAAAGCACCTGTGAGATGTTTTCTCATGAGGGTACACAACAGACAAAATCATGTAAATAAACTGACCCTAGAGCATCTCTCATTCTGTCCAAAGTTCAGGGAAGGCATGCCTCCCTGTCGTGGTCCTAGTCCTCCACTAATTCTCATGGTGGGCAAACTGCTTCAGTTCTAGGCTTACCCTGGAGCAATACAACCAGTTCCTCTCTTGAGGAAACCTAGAACCATTGAGAAGTCAGCCTACTGGAGCATCCCAGCCAGGCAATACAGATCTGTAGTCAACTCAGATGGGTACCAACGTTACCCCAGCCAGCAGTGTGTCAGAAAATGCCCTCAAGGTGTCACATGTTCTGTGGGCATGGCACGAGAAGACCATGAATGGACTACAAAACAGAACTTTCATTGTTTCAAGTAAAAAAGGTCAGGGGACAACACCCAAAGGAAGACACAAAACACAGTGACAGAGAGAGGGAGGAAGGAGGGAAGGAAGGAAGGAAGGAAGGAAGGAAGGAAGGAAGGAAGGAAGGAAGGAAGGAAGGAAGGAAGGATATAGGATCAGATGTATCCTAGGGAAAATGAGGTTCAAATGCTGTATGGTGTGTCAGAGTTGCCCACAGGCAGTGGCTCAGAGCATGTGGGGTGTTGTCAGCAGGGCCAGTGTGTGTGCAAAGGGGGTACCCAGCCTGGTCCACTGCTCTCACCTCATCAAGCGTGGGCAGATTAGGCAGACTGCTGCAGATCAGTACTCCAGGCATTACTCCCTGTGCCTCCTGTGCCAGGGACCAGTTTTTCTCCCCACATGCTCCCTGACTGCACACAAAAACTTAAATTTGAGCTAGAAATATCTGTTGTTCTGGTGGTCATGACGGAAAATATCAAATTAAGGATGTGCATGCACTTTGCTGCTCCTTGGTACAGGCTTAAAATAATTGTGTAAATTAAAAGGACATATAAATGTTTCCTACAGCTTTCAAGGGCATAAAGGCAGGGG